TGTAAGTGTTGTTCCAATTTCTTGTGGACTTTGGCCATTTAACTTACTAATGTTCTTATGTGTAACACCAGGATACCAGTACCGATTTCTATGAGGATTCATTTACCCATAGAGCTGTTAGCACCGAGCTTGGCACATGTTCATTCGTGTTGTTAACAATAGGCCAGGGTTTCAATCTTTACATTTAAATAATACAACTAGATGTTAGCATTACATTTTCTATAAAAGTTATCCCCTCAGACAAGTTCGTTATTGTGCCATTGCCATGTGATTCGACCCAATGGAATTTTTTTAGAAAGTCTAAAATTGTTTTATTATTTCATAACTCTGAGTTACAAACTGCTCAACTGCAGATGTCTTGCCTGGCCTGTACATTAAAAAAAAAAAAAAAGAAGAATTAGTTAACATATCTAGACATTCCACAGAAAATCTGGATTTCTGGTTTTGTAGAAAACCCACCGCTTCATGTTGGTGTCACCCTCACCACAGCTGTGGCCTTGCGGAATTGAGGAGGGGCCGCCTTGTGGAGTGGGAGACTGCTGCGGTTTGCTGACCCCTGCTGATTTATGTGACTTGCTGGCCCCTGTAGGCATCTGAGTTTGCTGCCTGGACGCCCAAGGTGATGTCTTAATTTCTCATAAATCTTAATAGTCACCTCCTAGCCCCCTTTGCGGATCCTGAATGGATGCACAGAAAAAACAGCCCCTAGCTCCTCCTCTTCCACCTACAGACTATTCCCAGCCAATCAGGCCTGCGCCCCTGCCCCCATATCAAGTCATCTTCTGTGATTTGACAACAGCTTCCAGTGGAAGTGCGACCCCTGCCGCCCTGTCAACTCCACCTTCTTTTTCTAGCCCACATCTTCCTGGTCCCCAGGGAAACCCAGCTGTACCCCACTCTGTAATCTGACCCTGCTTTATCTCTAGCTTAGAGCCTCTGCTCTCCTCCATACTCCTTCCTTGCAAACGTACACATTTTTCAAGTCCTGCCTCCCCAAGGATGTGTTACCCAATTTCTCTAGCTAGATGCACCCCCTTATCATTTAACGTCCTATAATCCTTGGTTTGTACATATATAAATATGACATATCCCAACATGCTTTGGACTATAGTCAGGTATGTGCATATCTTAAGTCTGCCTCAAGATGTGCAGTCCAGCATTGCCCGGTGGCACAGGCTTGTATCCTCTGGGATACTCTGGGAGGCTGAGGCAAAAAGATTGCAAATTAGAGCCCAGCTTGGGCAAGGTAGCAAGGTCCTATTCCCAAATTAAAAAATAACAAATGAGCTGGTTCTGTGTTTGAGCTCCAGCACCACAGAGAAAAAGAAAGGAAGATAAAGGTGCAGTCCATGGCGTGGTCACCACAGTGTCACAAAACCAAACACCCAATACGTTGTGAAGAAAGCTCAAAATATTTAACTACAGGAATATAATTTCATCCTAGAAAATATTATTAATAACCTATTTATCTTCCTATCCTAATGTGAACATGTAATTTATTTTAGCCTCTCCTTTAAAGGCTCAAAAACTAACCTCTGTCATTTGCTTGATGTCTCAGAATCACAGTTACCTTAACTGAGGGGCAGAGATAGTGCAGTCTCTAGTGTCCTGAAGACTAAATGAGTTACTGCAGGTAAGGCACATGCTAAACAGATAGCTGTGACTACTACTATGTAGAAGTGCATCTCATATTTAGATAGCAGTTTAGAAGTAGCTTGTTCTATTTTCCTAAAATACTTCTTAGAAAAGAGAGGGTCAAAGATGGTGGTTTGTCTGCCCTAGATAAAACGAATGTATTTTGTTCAGAAGGGCTGCGGCAGGGGTGGGGTATTTCAAATATCAGTGGTTGGGCAGTAAAAACTTTTAAAGAAGTACAGTTTTATAACCACCAAAGCAATGGTTCAAGGAGAGGTTATGTGAGTGTGTGATGAGGAAAGGATATTTACACAGCTTCATACTGTCACCTTACAAATTACAGCTTCCATATTGGGGACATTTGGTGGCCAGCCATTCAATTGAGAAATCAAAATTGCCATCAATAGTATGGGCCGAACTGCCCCTTATGGTATAACAAGGAGGGAGTGATACCACCTATATAGTATTCTTATAAGAAAAAAGAAAAAAGTTAACCTGACTTGATCAGTGAGGAAGCAGCCAGACAAATCCAAAGTGTGTGCAACATCTACAAAACAATTGCTAGGTTCTTCAATGAAGTCAATATGGGGATTCCCCCCTCAAAAAGGGAAACTTTCTTAAATTAAGAGTCTAAAGAAATATTATTAATAAATGTAATATGTGACCTTGATAAAGTCCTTTTAGAGAAATACATCACAGCTCTAATGATCCTTATTGGGATAATTGGTGGTTTGAATATAAAATTATATATTGGATTAGAAAAAAATGTAATGAAAAAAATAGTGACTCAGTTATATTTCAGTTGATGCACTCTTTCCTGAATTACTCTGGAACCAGGAAATATGTCGCAAGACCTAAAAACATGGAAATTACAAATGAAACATTTGCTCCATGGAATTGGATCAGTTTCTGTGGGAAGAACACGCCACCAGTTTGTTGTCATAGATAAATGGACATAAGAACTTAAAAGGCAGTGGCTGCTCACAGCGAATGCACACAATCCTGTGGGGTACAAGTCACTGTTTTGGACACCGCCAGCTGCATGCAGGAGGTACTGGGTAAATGGTACCGGTTGGCAGTAACCAGCAGAGTCTCAAAGTGGAGTCCTGTCCTTGCTGATTTGGGGGCCTTTGGGCTGATGAGAATGGATTGCTAGTAAAATCACAGAGACTTCATTCTCCTTTTAGTTGGGTATGGATGACAGAGCCCGTGGAGGGAGTGTCCCTCAGTCCTCGTCTGATACTGTGGTGTATTAGTCCCAAATAAGGAGAAATTGCAGAAGGCCGTGGCAGCCTGGCTGGAAGTCATTAAAAAAATTCAGTGTTTGGGCCGCCTCTGTGTTTCAGAGAATGATAGAAGCCATTAACAGCTTACTTTTAGTTTCAGAAGCTGGAGATATTTTCATTACTGGTGTCCTCAGGCATAGACTTTTTAATTTAAAAAAAGAAAGTAAGTTCAGGATGGAAATTGCCCATCACCACAGGAGCATCGCCGCAGCAGGAACATGATGGTTCACCTGTCAGTCTGAGCAGCAGCGCACCAGGTTATTCTGGTTATTCTGAGTGTCTGGAATGAGGAAGAGGAAGTAAGGTAGAAGGGTGAAGGGAGGGAGGACAGGGGAACCAGGGGGGAACCAGGGTTACTCGTGCTTTTGGAAAAGCTGAGGACTTAATTTCAAAGTAGCGCTGAAATCTCAGGTTTCTTACCTCTCTTCCTCATAATAAGGTGATTGTTCTGGCCCTGGCACTTCCTCTACTTCTTCCAAAGGCACAATGCCCTACTTTGAACATCTTTTGCATGGTGTTATGGTAAATTTAAGTTGGCCGCAGATTCTTTGTTACTTTCCACAGAAGGAAATGGATCAGATTTCCCCTGTCTGGGGAGCTGGGTTGACTGTGTGTCTGTCCAGCCAGCAGAACACAGCATGTGTGCTGGCTTGGCCTTGTAGAGAACTGTGGCTTCCAATGCCTCTAACTTGAGCACTTATCGCTTGGGCCACTCCTCCTCGCTAACAGGGATCCCAGGACAAGGAGAGCGACAGGGCAGCCATCTGGATGAGCCGCCTTGGATGTCCCAGCCAGTCCGCTGCTGGGTGACATCACGCAAAGGAGAAGCAGCCCAGAGAAGGGCAGTCAGCACAAGAGGACCTCAGAATTACTAGAACAGAATGTGGTGTGGTTTGCTCTATAGTAACACATAGCTGAAATAGGGGTAACAAAGCGTTCACGAGAAGGAAGACTGGGCTGGGATGTAGCTCAGTGATACAACATTGATTAGCTTTCTTGAGGTTCCGAGTTCCATTCCCGGCACTAAAAAGAAGAAAAGAGCAAGGAAGATTATCAAGCGGAACAGCAAAGCACAGGAAAGAACAGTGGTGGAGTTGGAAGAGACCGGTGAGGCCAGGTGACGACAGCCTTATCCTTTCATGGGTTCAGACTTCAAAGCTGGCCCAGCTCTGCAATGCTCCACACAGAAAAAAATTCATCTTAATCCAGCCTCACCCTGACACGTGTGTCTCACACAGACCTTATTTTTTAAACAGAGTTTATTGTATTTAATACATTATAAAATTTGAAAAATTGTAGGAAAGCAGCAGACTCAAACTGGAGCATCTCTAACAAGTAATAATTCTGGCCCCTTTGCAAAACCGATCAGTTTAAAAACAAAGTAAAGTTCATATCTGTGAGGTGGACAGAAGAGTGTCGCTCCTGAACAAACTACATTTAAAACGTCATGTCTAAAGTCCTTTCTGTGTCATGTGCTTGTCAGACTTCTTCTGAAGTCCTGCCTGGTCCCCGACTAAGGGGTATGAAACTCCATATGCAAAGAAGCTCCATTCGAGGTGTGTCAGGAAAAAAAAAGAAGAAGAAAGACAAAAGAAAAAGAAACAGCAGATGACTGTTGACAATGGAAACTGTAAGGAGACTGTGTCCTCCCCGCGCATGGCTTGTTTATTGGTCAGGGGCCTCAGGAGGCCCAGGACACTTCTCGGCCGTACAGCACCACAGTATCACCTCTCTCTCTCTCTCTCTCT